AGTGAAAACATTTTCTTAACAGGAAGAAACTTCTGACAGAATCAGGCTCAGGGTAATTAATTGTTGAGTTCACAAAGGAAAGAGCCACCAAATCCAGCAGCCGGTTTTAATTTGATTTTGGAGATTGGAAATAATTCTGGAAGATTAAACACAACTAATTTTGCCAACCTTCCTGTGCCTTCATTCATCTTTTAACTTGCCAGATTTGTCTTGGGATTGCATGTGGGGTGGGAGCTGATGGCATATTGGGACATTTCCTCATAAGATCCATCTAGTTATCAGAATTCCAAATAAAATCAGTGTAGATTAATGCAAACTTGGGCAGCTTACCAAACAATTTAAAGAATGTAAATGGAATAAGAAAAATAGTTTAAAAAATAAATAAAAGCTTCTTTTATGGGATAAAACAGGAAAAAACTACATATAATCCATCTGATAATTATAAAAGAAGCATTTAAGTTATTATATGAATATTATGATTATAATATACATAAAATGCTGTTATGGCAAGTGATGTATCCGCGATCTACTGAATGTACCTACAGTCCTGAAGTTAACCTCAGCAAAGTATTAATTCAGCACTCAGTGCTTTTCTGCGAAGGAGTTCAATCAGTTCAGTCTGAGCCAGAGAAATACTCAGCACTCAGTTTCCTACAACAGTAAAGAGACGGAGCTAAGTGTTCCACATGGAGAGAGGGATCAATACATAAAAACAGCACAGCTGGCCTGACAGCCTGTCTTTTCCCGACAACGTCTAATGCAGCAGTGAGAAAAATCAAAACATCAGCTGCTGGGACTCCTGGCATATCAGCTTGACAGCCGTCTCTGTCATATTAAAATTTTTGACAAATGGCACTTTTTTTTTTGTGGTCACGTTTCTCCAAATCTTTTTTCTAGCAGTTTGTAACAGCTGCCACTGGAGCTGTATCTGGGCTGAAGCTGGACCAAATTTCTTCACGTTGAGGAATGCAGATCGCCTGCAAATGGCTTGTTTTTAATGAGGCATTGACATTGTTCTCAGATTAAACTTGGGACTTGTTCAGTAAGAACTTGTGCATCAGGGTCTTTGAATGAGAAATGTGCTGTGATAATGAAAGAAACTTAAAACTCAAAAAGCATGCAAATGAAGTCTAATTTCAAAGTATTGCTTGTGAATTTTATAAGAACACAAAGTCAAAAAAGTCACAAAGAAAAAGTTTTGTTCCTGTTTAATTACCAGTATGCATTTTAATACAAATATATTTTTTTGCTAAAGTGCTCAAGTTGGTGTAGGAGGAAGTCACTCACTTTAAATTGATTGTAGTTAAATTTTGTGCTGGCATTTATGATCCTACATCAAAAAAAGGCTCCAGTACCACACAGTGACTATAAATAAACAATGGATGTTGTCATGGTCCTCACTATGTGAACCTGCAATTTCTCTGTACTCTCTGCCTCATCTCTCTCCTATCCTGCATGTGTATATACAGTATGCTTTACCTGTGGATGATCATGCATGCGTCAGTCTTTTCTGGGTTCTGCAATGTATGCATTTCTCCACTTACCTTTGAAGAAACCTTATCTTTTTCTCTTTGTGCTCAGATCTTTTGGAGAAAGACTGTGTAAGTTATCAGACATACAAACATTAAGTTCAAGTTTATTGTAGTCATTTTGACACCACTGAATTTGGGATAGCAGGAAGCAGCAGAATCTGACACCATAAATCCCTCACTACCTGAGAGACCTGAGCCAGAGGAGTTCCATCTCCTTTGTTGCCAGTCTTCAGAGGGGGTCCTGCCTCCACTACAGTTGTCATCCCCCCGTCAAGCCACCAGAAGTGTCCAGTCACCTCCCCCGATGCCAGCCTTTAGCCAAACCAGAGGTGTCCAGTGGCTTTAGCCAACGCTAGCCCACTAAGAGTCAGCTTCCTTTGCGACCTCCAGAGGGTCTCATTCACTTCCATCGCTCTCCTTCAAGCTTCCTAAGGTGCAGTCAGTCATCACTGGCTGCCTCCTTGGCCTCATGAGTGAATCCATCACTGGCCTTCAAGCTAGTCCCTTGTGAGGCTGAGCCGCTGGCTGTTCATTTTGCATCCGAGGGAGTTTCATTTCCTCAGCCATCAATTGCTTATCGGAGCTGCTGTGTCTCGATCACTGGCCACCCGGTCAGGACCCAGAGTTGCTCCATCTCTGCTGTTGACCATCTGACCAGATCCAAGAGTTACTCTGTGTCTACTGCTGAGTTGTTTCCCCTTTGCTGCCCCCCTGAACTGCCATGTTCCCTTTTCTGACCTGATGGCTGGACTCAAGAGAGGCAGGGTACACCCTCAACAGGTCACCAGTCTGACACAAGACTAAAAACAGAGAGACAGACAACCATTCACACTCAAATCTATGGGCAATTTATAATCACTAGTTCTAACCACAACAATTGCATGTGTCTTGATTGCGGAAGGAAGCCAGAGTACCCAGAGAACACATGCAAAAACAGGGAGAACATACAAACTCCACAGCGAAGAGCCCTGGTCCCAAACTCAGGACCTTTTACAATGGCTAATTGCCTTGCCCTCTTTCTCCCACTGTTAAATGTGTCAATTTTTATATAAGTCTTAGTAATTATATCAACTGGTCTTCTGTTTGTGCAACTCTAACAGCTGTTTGTCAGTGGATTACTGGACCGGTGTCAAAGGCAAAATGCCTGGACTGGCCTTACTGACAGTCTTACAGTGGTCAATGGGACCCAGTCACCATTTGAATTGAAAAAGTTTAAATTTTGTATTTGTTTGTATTTTGTACAAATACAAACAAAAAGGTTCTCATGACATCACCGCTGCTATAACTTTACAGATTTCCTAAATATAATAGAGTGTAATTTGCAGAACTTGTCTTTACTGTTCCATATGATTTTTTCTTTTTTCAATTCTTTATTAACATAAAATTAACCATGATTCATCCTAAACTAAAACTGCTTGAAGGTGGAAAATAGGGACACAAAGGATCAGTCTTATATTTTGATGATAGAGACCCTGTGTAAAACTAAACTGCCTAAATCTATTTAATATTGATCCAAAAATTCAGCAACAGGAAATCTTGTTGAACCAGATCTAGAAGTGATTGAATACACTTTCAAATTCAGAGCTTACTCAACTGCATCCACAGAGACTTCACTGCATTAAAATTCATGTCCTGTTTGATGCATTTAAAAACATGCAGAGGTGGTGATGGGGGCGGATGATAGCAGAACTCGTACTGTTTCTACTATTGCAAATAACGCTTAAATGAAAAAAGACAAACCGAAAGTTACAAAACCAATCAGAGGTCAGAAGGTTTTCTTAAAGAGGAGAAGATGGTTTCTTTCTTACCTTGTTGATCAGGCACTGGTACAGCCTGGACAGCCCAATGAATTCCAAAACCAGTAATGTGGAGAATATGTTTCATCTGATGTGGAATCATGGAATGATCTGTCTTCACCTGCCAATTCTCACCAATGTTGCCAAAACAGTATCAGTATCTGCCTTTATGGAGTGCATTTATGGAGTGCTCCTTGAGGTCCTTAGAGAAGAATAAAAAATAGAGAACGAGACAGACAGGGGAAGCTCTTAAGACATTGTTTATGACACCTTTAAACAGTGTTTGCTATGAATGGCATAACCAGATATTAGTAGTGGCTGAGTGGTGTATTGAAGGCTGTTTCATTCATCTGCTTTTCTGATTCTGACAAGCTGTTAGGTTAGCTTGGAGGTAGTGGTGACGGGCAGGTAAGAAACCTAAGTGAGGTGTTTACCAGAGTCAGGCTGCTGACCGTACCGATAAGCAGAATTTAGTCTGGCTGTGAATGGTGATCTCCATGGAGCAAAGCAGGCAAATCTTGCAGGTGAGAAAACAGAATCTTGCAAGTCCAGAATCAGCAGTTCCATCCAGGCAAGCCACAAATACATTACAAAGATAGGGTGATGTGGTAATGTAAGTGGAAAGCAACATCAGGAAGAAGGAGTAATGGAAAATAGTGCAGATGTGGAAAGTAAAGTCCAAAGTAGTCCCAGTGGTAATAGGACCATTAGGCATTAGGAGCTGTAATCCTGAAACTAGAAGAGTGGCTGCAGCAGATTCCAGGCACAGCATCAGTGGTCTTTGTCCAGAACATAGACCACCCAATGTAAGGTTTGTGCTACCGCTGCTGCTCAGTACAGGTAATTACAATAATATTTTTTAAAATTTCTGTAAAGGTTAATCAACACTTATGCAAAGCTCTCTGACTAAAATGACATTTTTAAAATTTAAATTTATTAAAACAATGTTTTTTGATTTAATTCTATGCTTGATAGAATTAAACCAGCACAAATTTGGATTAAAAATGAGTTTTTAAATTTGTAAACCAACTTAACTTTAAGGTGTAATTAGCCACTGTACTAATGTTAAACTAGGAGAGTGAAAATACTATGTATATATAATAAAATATCTACTTATTACTGTAATACTAGCAAGCTAGCTAAAAAACCTAGCAAGCTAACCCAGAATTTACCATACAGTTTTCTTTGATCCCTTACTTATAAATATGTACAACTTTGCCCTGAGTTCCTGTATATATGTCTCTGTCACATAATATTGATGGGAAATGTGGACAGAATATGTGAGCAGTTTTCCATTTCTATTTATTTCTTGTTTCTCAGCACATTCACACTCTCAGTTATTTAACCTCTGTGAGAACTTAATCTGTGGGAAAAGGGAACAGAAATCACAGAAGGTGGAAGTCTAAAACCAATCAGGTCAGTCAAAGAGAAAAGATCCCAATCACTACTTCGTGGTATTTAACCTTAGCTATTTCTATTAAGTCTGAGTGGGAAGTACCTTGAATGTGGGAATGTAGACATACAGTGGATTTTGCATAGTTTCCTTTTCAACCAATCAGTTTATGTCAAGTGCTTTATGACGTGGAACATCCTTTTTTCACTACAATAAATAATACTGAGTTAACATTCATTTTTTTATTGGTCAGTGGCAGAATCTTTTTTGAATTCACTGTTATTGTGCGTATTTAGCTAAGTGCGAGGTAAGTGCAGGTTTAAAAACTATTTAATGTTTAGATAATTGAATGTGAACTTTCTCTATAACATTAAAAAATGTTTATGAATGTTAGTATAGTTTAGTGGAAAATCAGCACTTCTGGAACTGTTTTTCATTTCCAATGTCTCTTTTTAATGAAAACCTACAAAGGTCTTACCTGAACAGAAAAAAATCCAGAACATTAATGGATACAATGGAAATTGATGACACCTTATTATATATGGACGGCAATCTCATTACTCAAGGTACAGTATCACCCCCAAAACACGCAGACAGAACTAGTGGGTAAACAAAATAAAATGCAAACCTGTTTTTCAGCTTAAATTTCAAACTGAATAATGTCACACTTTTGTGTGTGTGTGTATTTCATTGCTTAAGACGCCTTTGGTTTGAGAACATTTTATTGAATAATACATTTCATGTTTAATTCATAAAAGGACCAATATCATGCTGGTCTATGCTCAGTAATACATAATTACACAGTAAAGCAGGTTTTAAAGATTTTTAAATGGATTCAAAAATTCTAAAACTTAAGTTAAAGTCTCTAAAGACTTTTTTAACCAATCTTACTTGTCTAATGATATATTTGTTTGTAGTTTAATTTGAAAAATGTCTGTTTTCTTATTTACAAAACAGTGAATTTTCGCAGAAGAAACCAGATCCTCAGATGTGTCACTGTGAGCCTCGGATTACTGTGTGCTGTCCTGTTGTGCAGTAACATAAGTCAATTTATATTCTGTAAGTTGTTTATTTTTATTCAATGAAAATAACCCCTTTTTTTGTTGCTTTTACATCCATTTCATGATAATCAATTGAATCCGGCAAAGTATTATTTTTATTTTTTAAATTTCACAGATGAGATCATCCATCCTACATCAGGAGGCCAAACACAGTCATATCACAATACACTCACTCAAGATAAGGAGAAACTCCAAAATGATAATGACAACCTGACTGCAGAGAGGGACAGACTGGAGATCAGTTATGATGCTTTGAGTAAGGAGACAAGACAGTTAAAGATCATACTGAGCAACCTCACAAAAGATAAAGATGAGCTGCAGCGCTATTACAGTTATTTGATTACTAAACGAGATGAGCTGGAGGCCAATTTCAGCAATGTGAAAAAGGAGAAGGACTGGTTACAAACAAATTTCATCAACTTAAAACAAGAGAGAGATCAATTCGAGACAAACTACACTGACATGCAGAGGAAGCTTGAGGGCTTACAGACTAATCACAATAATCTGACAGCAACTGCAGAGCAGCTACAAACCAGCTACTATAACCTCCAAAGAGAAAAGGATGGATTAAGCATTCTTTTTACTGCACTGAGAGTAAAAGAAGTCCAGCTAGAAGGTAATTACACTGTGTTAAAGAGGGAGAAAGACCAGTTACAAAGAAGCTACAATACTCTGAATAGAAACAAACATCAAACTGACCAGAGCTATAACACCCTGCGGAAAGACAAAGAGCAACTTCAAACCAGGTATAATACTTTGAGGAAGGAAAAGGAACAATTACAAACCAACTACAGTCGTTTGACTACAGCTAGAGAAGAGTTACAATTGAAAGTCAAAAGGATGACCACTAAACTAAGCGGTATGCTTCCTATGTTACAGCTTAAATTTACTAAAATTATCTCCATTGTGGTATTCTTCATCTTTTGGATATTTTTTCCATGTGATGAATTTGCAGGCATTCCTTGTCAGGCCCACTGGAGAAGGTTCGACATAAGCTGTTATTTTGTCTCAACCTTGAAGAAAAACTGGACGGAAAGCAGAAAAGCCTGCATCGCTGAAGGTGCAGATCTACTTGTCATAGACAGCGCTGAGGAACAGGTAATAAACAAAGGCAGATTTAGAATCGCTAAACTTTGCCAGTGATTGCAAGAATTTTTACTGGCTTTGTACTGGGTTGCTAAGGTTTGCATGTACAGTTAAAGATGACTGCAGTGTTGCAAGAACTCCATTAGGTGATGGAGCTAAAACGAAAACTTAAAGGATCATTAATGCTGTTATAATCCATCTTATTGGAGACATGGGACTCTATCCCAAAGACAAATGACTGTCATCGTGGCTCTACGGGTCATTCAAAATTTTTTTACAAAACTGAAATGTGTAGAAATTGTCTGTACCAGTCCATTTATTATATATTCCAATTTAGATCAAGATCACCCCCTGACAGTAATGTCATCAGTCTTTTGTTTGTGCGACTCTAACAGGTTTTTGTCAACGAATTACTGGACAAGAGCGAGAGGCAAAATGCTTGGTTTGGCCTCACTGACACACTTACAGAGGGGGTTTGGACCTGGGTGGATGGGACCCCTATTACCATAGAGTGAGTTTAAATACACGAACCTGAACAAAAAGGATCTAACTTTACAGATTTTCTAAATGTAAGGTTAATTTATCAAACTTTTATGTACAACTTTACTGTACAAAGATCAGTCTTGTATTCTGTTGTTGAACTGAACTCTGCCAAAAACTTTAATATCTATCCAACAATTCAGCAACAGGAAATGTAAGGAAAGGATGATTGCAGAAGTGCACAATATTATTTCTACTTTTGCAAATGAGAGTTAAATTAAAAAGACAAACTGAGGCACCAAACAATCACAATGTAGGAGTGAATTTGTTTCTTATAGCGACAAAGTGGAGAAAATGATTTCTCTCTCTTACCTTATTCATCAGATACTGGCTGCCTGGACAGCCTAATGACTTCAAAAGCCAGGACTGTGGAGAATATGTTTCATCTGATAAAGGATCATGGAATGACGATGGCTGTTTCGCAACACAAAATTATATTTGTGAGAAATAAGATCAACATGACTTACAGTGTTAGCTAAAGATTTGGACTGTGGTTCTTAAGTTTATTAATAGACAATATTCCAGATTTTTGGCTCTGTCATCATAAAAAACACCCACACAAGTTCATTTCAATTCAGTTTTATTCATATGGCACCAAATCACAATGACAGTAGCCTCGATGTCCTTTATATTGTAGGGTAAAGAAAAATAGCAATAATCCAGCCTGGAAGTAACAAATCCATGAAATAGTTTTTCAGCATCACTCTGACACAAAATGCTTCTAATATTGGAGAAAATGAGCAATTAATTACCCTAAGTATTGTCTTTGAAGCCAAATCCTGATGATTTTAACCTACCATATTCATCTGTTCCAAAGAGTTTTGTTTTTGCCCAGAACTGATAAAAAAGAGTTTTGGACTGGTTAACATGAAAAAACACATTCTTGTTTATTTTGGCTAAATCCTGCATATTTCCTGTGTCACATCTTACTCAAAATGTAATTTAAAATGTAAATTAATAGCATTTAAGATAATTGAAATTTTCAGACTATTATCATTATTGTTATAAAAGTTCAAAATTAATAAATTACAAATTAATTACAATTTAATTTACAAATGGAAGACAAGAGTTTTGGACCCGAGGGCCACAAAAGAAGTCAGTGGTGAGAGGTATTTTTACATTTCGTCCACTGCATTTTATTTTCCATCAGCCAAATCTTCCATCTGTCCACGTTCATATTTGCTTTCCTGACTTGGGTCACTGGGGCCCTACAAGCTATCGCAGTTGACAAGCTCGCAGAATATCATAGCGCTAAGAGGGAGACAGACAACCATGTAGACTTACGGCCAATTTACAGTCATCAGTTAACTGAACTTTTAACTGTGGAAGGACAGATACAGGCAAATGTACACAGAATAGGTCAGCCATGTTTAAACTGCATGGTGCATGGTTTTTTAAGAAGTAAACTCTGATCATCAATTTCACTTCCTTTTTTATTTATCTAGAGCCAACATCACAAATAATTAGAACTGTGACATATAATAAGATAGATGATTTTAGGACTTTATCTATTTAGCTGGGAAGTAAAATTTTTTTTTTCTTCGCTGTTTTGGCATAGCTGTTGTTCTGTGTGATTAAATTACATACAGCTGGTATTAGAATAACTTTTTTTTCTTGAGTTGTTGTTAAACATTTACATATTAAGTGGACTTGGAGTTCAGGGCCAGAAAAGAAGTCATACACTATTTTACATTGTTGATTTTTTTACTTAATTTACATAAAAATCATTATTAAAAGCAGACTTACATGTTATTGCGATACATGTTATGTGTTTAATGTTATGAAATCATTCTTTGTGTAAAAGCAGATTTTTCGACTCTTCAAAAGTATTGTTTGGCTTTTTGCATATCGGCATATTTGTGAATAATTCATATAAAAAAATTGATTAAAAAATACTTTGGAAGAAATGCTTAGCCTTTTCCTTGACTTCTGTTTAAAGATTTACATATTTAATGGGGCTTAGAGTTGAGGGTCAGAATAAAGTCATCTGCTAAATTTGCTACGTAGCTGATGATGAATAAAAATTTGTGTTTTAAATAGAAAGTGATTTTGGTAATCCTTCTTGGTACTCTGAGCCATTTAGCATAGCATAATAATTATATTATTAAATAAATGAAATAAATAATGATTAAATGTTTTCCCATTAGAGACATCACTATGTTGTATAAGAGGTAAATGACTGGCAATAAAAATGTGGAAAAAATGATTTGTTTTTGCCATCATCTATCTTTTGAATGCTTACAGTACATTCACTAACAAAATTAGTCTTCATATAACATAAGTAATAACATAAAAGAAAGTTTTTGTGTGTTGCGTAAAAAAATACATCAGGTTCAGATACAATAATTAATAAGCAGGTTAAAGATGACATGGAAATGGCTTTGCATGGTTAACTATGTGTGCAATATGTCCACATTGTGAGGGAAACATTATGGTCGAAACCTAGAACCAAGAAGGCTTTACATAAATTTTAGACTTATATTTCCTTGTTCAAGAACAGTCAGACCACTGAGATGATGCTTATAAACTCCAGTGAATATTTAAACTGTCAAACTGTAAAACTCCTAAAACAAATGTGGCTTTTTTGGTCTTTGTTTTGTTGTAATTTCATGGAAAAGTAGAAAACTTTGGTGGTTTGTCATTGTTTTAAATAGTTAGGTTCCATTTTTTTAAGAAATACACCCCCACCCTACTCCATTTTCAAATGTTCAAGAAACTTCAGTTAAAAAAAAAGACCTCACAAGACATCTGGCATAAATTTTAAATTAAACATTGTTGGGGGGAGGGAGGGTAGCACTTCATGGAACTCAAATAAATGCCTTACATTCTAAAAAGTGAAACAAAAATAAATTAGTGTAACAGAAACAAAACACTGTGGAGGAAAGGGTAGCTGTTATTGCTGTGCTGCAGCTTTTACTGTGTCCACCCCCGTATGTTGCCCTGGTGTAACCTGAACAGACGACGATTCACTGACACATAATGATGCCAAATGCTGACAATGCTCTCTATAGCTACAGGCTACTTGTTGCATAACACAGCATCAGAGAAAAGAGTTTTTTGGAAATGCTGTTCTTATATTAATACGAACAGCAGAATTTGCAGATATATTTAGCACGCTGAGACACCACACTTTGGCATGTGGCTCATTTTGGGTGTGGTGGTGGTTACATGTAGTGTGGCTGCTCTTGAAGGGGGCATCTCAACCATTAATTGGACTAAGCCTTTTCATTCCCCCCAGAGATGAGTCTGATCCAAACCGTCTGTGGTGGAGTGGTGAGATCTGGCTCCCCCCCGGGATGTAGCCGAGTGGTGCGGTTACGCTTTTGGCCATGTGACTAAAAATAAAGATCAAAGAAGCCTCTTCCAGACATGTTGGTCTGGTTAAACTCACAGAAAAAAAGGGCATTTAAATAGTTAAGAGGGTGATGCGTGTGCATTAGTCTGATGATTTAATGTATTTAGAAGGATGAGGCTACTTTTCCAAGTGCGTCTGACAACATTATAAAGTGAGCCTACTTTTGGGCACTTCATATTTTTAACCTCTAGCCTGTAAAACAGGTAACATTCTACCAAACAGGGCAAACAGCCTGTATAGTGTGGTAGTGTCTGGGAAAAACTAACAACATATTGCTGACTAAGTTGGAGACTTTCACTCTGGTGCATTATCTGCACTACTTAACACTTACTATAAAACATCAGGTCTCTATGGCAGCAAACTAACGAGTCATGTTAGCTACTACACCTGTTTGTATACGACTCTCCACTCTACCTCTGCTGTATAAACAATGGATGTAGCTACCGTCATGTCACCTGTTGTTTCTTACATTTTATTTCAAAGCCTCAAGATTAGCATTTAAAAGATTTTTGTTAGGTTCATAAAAACCGTAGATGCAACATGAGGAGCGGGTCTGAGTGCGAAACTGCTTCCTCATTGGCTATGACAAAGATCTAAAAATTCTTCCATTGATTCAATATGATCCAAATAAGTGACTGAGGACATAAACATGGCAGGCAAGTGGGTTAACAGAGGTCAAGACATAAAGACATTTTCCCCTGTGACTTCTATAGGACTGGAAAACTATAGGATGGAGAATGTACGTTTAAAGAAATTCAGACTAACAACAACCTTCTTACGACTAGGAGAAATTGGTAATAGCAGCCTCTCGCTGAGATTTCAATTGATCACAAGAAAATTTCACAGGCCATCTGGCGGGAGGCGGCCTATCACCAGGTGCATGCTGCTTCTGTCCCCTGCTGTTGGAAAAGGCACTATTTGGCAATTGCACTTTACGAATGTATTATTTATCAGGTTGATTTGCCACAAAATTAGCCAAGCACAATAACAAAAATCATATTAAAAATCCTTTCATATACTGTGGAAATGTATTTTGGATGTATGCCTGAAATTAGCTAATAGC